TTTGTGGTGATTTCTGGCCATGCACCTTTTTCATTTCTATACTTAACTCCTTTGTATGACATCACCTTTTTGAAACTAATTATTACATCTAAAAAAAAAAAAAAAAACACTTTAGTCTCAGAATCAGCAGTTGGTAGCAGTTTAATGCAGGTTTTGTTGATATTAATACAATATATTTATCCCTTTGCCAGCTGAAGCTACCGTCTAAACTAATGTTTAATGATTTGATGAGTACATTCAAATTTTTCATCTACTTGTTGTTTTTCAGGTGAGAGTTGGAATATTATTGTTTGTGCACGCAGTGATGAGTAGGCACATACTTTTCTGTGATGGGTGAATGCGTGTGTAACAGTGGATCACAAGATTTTTTTGTGGCCTTTAACAAGGATGGACAGTGACTGACTTTGGAAGGAAGGATAAGGGGGGGATGTTAGGCCATGGAACTGAGCAGCATGCCTCAAAAAAAGAACAATCACTGGATGATTGCTTCCATAATTCAAGCAGTGCTCCCTAAAGTGGCGTCTTGAGGGGTGTTTCACAATGTTTCTCCAGTGAAACTTTTTAATTACATTTAATTGACTGTATTGCGTTTCCATAATTGCATTAATAAAAAATTCAGACGTAACATGTATTGCAACGATCCTAAACACCTTCTCCAAGTAAAACAGCTGTATGTGGCTGTAATGTGCCGGCTTCCAGCTCATTTAATACTGCAGATCCCAGATAAGCAATAAATCACTCAGTCTCAACTGCATCTTTTGCTCAATTAACGTATCCTGTAAAATTAAAGATCAAGGTACTCTTGAAGTCAGAATGCAGTTGTTTAAGGTTAATGGGGAGAACACAAAGTTTAATGTGAACTTAGCTGAAAGGATTATTGAATTCAGCAAGCCATCCACCACTGCTCTGTCAGGGCTAGTCTCTGTCCTCACATGCTTTACAATGATCAGATAATATTCTTTGATTCAAAGTTTTATTAATGGCAAAGTCTAGTACTATTCAATTTGAAATCTGTATGATATTTCAGATGCTAATTGCAGTTGTGTCCTATGGGTTTATTGGATTTGCAGTTTAACAACATTATCTCTACCTCTCATTTGGAGGCCGTATGGAATACATGGATATAATCTGAGGGCTCTGCAAAATGCCAATGACAGGAAGATTAGCTTAGCTATTAACCATTAACCATTATTAACCATTCGCCAGCAACGGATCTACCGTTTGGACTGAAAGCATTATTTTAGCTGCTACCACTTAACCCTTAGGGTGCTGAAATAAAGTTTCAAACACTTAAAAATGTAAATATTTTGAGCTTTTGAAAACCTATCATCCCCTGCGGGAGCTCTTTTCAACAAGTCGCCACATGATAGGTTTTCAAAAGCTTTGATTTTATCTCATATCAGTGAGCAGCAAAACTGCATTTAGAGCTTTAAGGGTTAATGTTTCCCACTCCTACAGTCATTTCTATCGGTGTACAGGGGTGGTCAGCACTGTATTCCTCAGGCATTTCAAAATGAGTTTTAATTTGTGAAAAATAAAGAAACACAATGATTATGATCTGATTGGTTGCAATTGTCTTCACTGCACAAAACACTGTAAAATAGGGAGAAGGTCTTTAATTTTTGCTGTTCCCTTATTTCCCAGAATGATTGGGACAGTACTGCCCCCCCCATTGATATGATATTATTGTTGATATTACCATTGATATGAAAGTAAGAGCGATGGCTCATCTGATTTTTTTTTTAAACAAATGTAAACAAACATCCATTTATGATGGTAATTTAATTTCTTTATCAGCAGATTAAATTGCAATGAGAAACAATGTTTGCATTAGAAAAAGAGATGTTTCTTTGCTCGTTCAAACTATACTCATATTTATGTCTTAGTTTGCAGTATTTCATGTGATTTGCAAGAAGAAAAATAGCATTAATGCCAACTTGATGGTGTTAATTACTTGTAATTAACATATGGCTGTAGAATAGAAGTTGTGATAAAGTGCCTTGCAGATGACTTTTGCAATATGTTAATTTAATTTGATGACAATTTTTATTAAATTTATTAACTCGCCGGCCATTCTTCTGCTCATAAACATGCATGTAGTAAGAAAAATGAGCAGCGCGCGCGTGTGTGCATATATTTGTGTGTTTTTGCGTGTAATTAAAAATCTGTTTTTTTTTTTTCATGCAATATTCACAGGAACAAAAGGTTTATGATTTGAAAACAACCACATCAGTGATGTAATTTTCTTGAGAAAGTATAAAACTGGCGTATTTCTATTTGCCTGGTTTGAAATTGTGTGTATGTCAGTGAACCATTGTATATCCGGACTAATAAAAAATGGCTAGCCTACTATATTTGGTTAGGTAAGGCCACCATGTGGATTTATTTATCCTCGCTTGACCTTGCTGAAATAACTTGTCATGTGGGGGGGGGGGGGGGGATTTGCAAAGATTCTCACGCAATTACTTTGCAAGTCAGATCTTGCAGCCCTATCTCTACTGTCATATTTATATTTATATATTTCCAAAGAAACCATTTTCCGAACATGAGTTGTGCCCACTTTACCTGATTGAATTTAATTTCCAACTTCCTCTTGAATTCAAGAGGCTACAACAATTGTGCTGCAGTTATCTGTCATTTTGTATGAAGTAAATATGAAAATAAGGCGTGTTTTGTCGCAAAACCCTGTGCTGATTTGCAGTGTGATGCAGTCACTTAAATCAGTGGCCTAAGGTAACAGACCTAGAGAGGGACAAAAAGGTGACCTCAGTAGAGAAATTAATTTGACAGATCAGTTGAGTACCGGTTTAAAACACAACCTATTTTTTCAGAGAATAACTTCAAGGATGAGTTGTGCTGTGCTGCGATATGTGACGCGAAAATCCGAATTATCAGGTTTGAGGCATTGTCACACCTTTGTAGCATTTCTAATTGACACTTTCTCTGCGGCAAACTGAAGTTTTAGAAGGCTGGCATCGCAGTCCCTTAACACTTACGTAGAGTGACTTACAAAAGTGGAGATCGTCAGTCTCAGGAATGCTAGTGTTATATTGCCGAGAACCTGCATGTCAACACTTAGTACAATATTGAGATTGGGGAAAAACAGCCAAGAACAATGCCTAGATTGAATTCAAAAGGAATTCAATAGGAATTAAAGGATATGTGACTAATGGTGTGACCAGAAGAGGTGAGTCTTTAAACTGCGTTGGATTTGAGCGAGGGTCTACCCGCTTGATAGCTGCGAGAGGCTCGTTCTGACGGGAGATCGAGATGTCTAAGCTTTAGAAAAGTTATAGATCAGATAAGTGGAAGCATTATGGATGAGCTACAGAGGTCGGATGGTGGAGAAAAAGAGACTGGCTAGGTTTTGCAAGCTTGCTGATGAGGGCACAGAAGCTCTAGATGGTGGGTAGGAAGAATGAGATGGCCCAGTGTACTGCTCTGATATTCTCTGAGAGGGTCGATTTGTTGTTTAGTTGCTTAGTTGCTTTTTAGATTCTTAGCGATGGAGGATGACATTGTGGTGGGGTGAAGGAACGGTCAATGGGTGTACAGTACTGCAAAAAAGTATTTGCCCCATTCCTGATTTCTTCTATTTTTGCTTATTTGTCGAATTTTAAAAATTATTTTTTTTGGGAATTTTTCCTTTATTTGACAGTTGTGCAGTGTAGAGAGACAGGAAGGTTGGGGAGAAGAATGGGGGAAGACATGCAGCAAATGACCTGAGCTGGAATGGAACCCAGGTCGCTGCGATAAGGACACAACCTTTATGGTACGCGCGCTTAGACCGATGAGCCACTGGGGCGCCCCCTGAATTTTAAATTTTAAGATGAAGTGAGTAAAAACAAACCGTGCTAAATTTCATGTGTGGAAGGTAATGAGCTATTCAAAAACTATATCAGCCATGTGAAAAAAAAAAATAGTAATTGCACCCCTAAAACTAATAATTAATTGTGCTGCCCCAGGCTGTGACAACTGTAATCAAATGTTTGCAGCAAATGACAATGAGGATTTTAAATTGCCGTGGAGAAATCTTGACCCTCTCTCTTTTTTTTTTTTGCAGAATTGTTTTAATTCAGCCAGGGTTTTTGAGCATGAACTGTTTGAGGTCTTCCCACAGGATTTCAATCAGATTCAAGTCAGGACTTTGACTTGGTCACTCAAAAACCTTCATATAGTTTCTTGAGCCATTCAGAGGTGGACTTGCTTGTGTGCTTGAGCTCATTGGCCTGCTGCACAATCCAACTGCGCTTGAGCTTCAGCTTACAAACTGATGGCCAAACATTCTCCTTCAGGATTCTCTGGTACAGAACAGAATCACAGTTCCATCAATTATGGTAAGTTGCTTAGATCCTGAAGCAGCTAAGCAGCCCCAGATCATCACACTGCCGCCACTGTGTTTGACTCATGATATGATGTTCTTGGTGTGGAATGCTGCATTTGCTTCTGGCCAGATCTAGAGGAGCCCATATCTTCCAAAAAGTTCCACTTTTGACCCATCAGTCCATGGAATATTTACCCTAAAGTTATAGGGGTAATCAAGATGTTTTTTTTTTTTTTTTTTGGCAAATGCAGGACAAGCCTTTGTGTGTCAGCAGAGGTTTTCTCTTTGCAGCGCTCTCATTTTGCCCAGTCTTTTTCATTTTGTGGAATCGTAAAAACACTGACCTTAACCCTAGTCCTGCCTCTGGGCTAATGCATATTGAGGACCGGCGAACAGGGAAATGGCTATCGGGGAACGACATATCAACAACCGGTATGCAAGGAAACAAGTGTGGGTCCTCTATACATCAGCGACCTGCAGGACTTGGGTTAACTGATAGGGCAGATCCACTATGCAGTAAAGTTCCACCAGGGGAGTTTGGTTTTACAAAACCTATGTATGGCAAGTGAGGCCTGCAATTCTTTAAGATGTTTGTCTGGGTTCTTTTGTGATTTCCTGGATGAGTCATCAACTTGCTCCTGGAGACATTTTGGTAGGCTGCCCTCCCCTAGTAGGGGACGTGGTGGTGCAGTGGTTAAGTGCACTTGACTTTGGATCGAAAGGTCGTGGGTTTAAGTCCTTGCCGTGGCTTTTGTGGTGTGTTCTTAGGCAAAAACACTTCACTTTTACAGTGCCTCACCTTACCCAGGTGTATAATTGGGTACCAGCAGATTGTCAGGGAACCCTGACTTGGGGGTAAATCGAGCTGGGGGTAAATACTTTTTTGCAGAACTATCTCTGACTGGGACATATGGCCTCTCAGTTTTTGCCAAGCTTTGGCAAGCGTTTTTCATGCAGCTTGAGCACAAAGTGCATGTGATACATGGACAACTTGAGAACAGACTTAGCCACAGTGCCAGTAGCTGCAGTTTTGTTGATTGTATCATTAGTTTGAATGGCCTACTATAAAATCTGATGGCCTGTCCTGTATCATGTCTGGTTCATTGCCCTGTTGAAATATCCTGTCTGGCAGTCTCTCAGAATGTTATGATGTGGACAACATTAACTCTTGCATATAATAATAATAATAATAACAACAACAACAAGACAACAGTGCAATCACTATCCCCTGCCATAATCAAGGGCCATAACTCAGTAAAAACATATGGTTCAACACCCATTTTTGAACTCAACAAAGATCATGAGTAGCTGATAGCGTATTAAGCATACAAAATTTCACACATCCTATGTATAATAGTTGCAGAGAAATCTTGCCCCCATTGTGGCCCAGACGAACGCGCACATGGACGGATGGACAAATGGACGGTCCCCAATCCAATTTCCCCCATCGCAATTTGTGGCAGGTGATAATAATAACCAATATTTAGTATTATTTTGGTTGTACATACATTTAAAGCTGGAAAATTGATGTGATGTCAGGTCTTCATAGAGTAAATCAAATGAGGGACACGTGCAGATAATTATGGAGTTATTTCTACAGATGGTGTGACTGAACATCATACGCTTCTTATACAGGATGGTCGGCCTTTATCTGGCAAGACACAAAGGAGTCTGCAGGCAGTGCTCTGGTATCTCACAGAGGTCACCCCCTTCCCCATGGCTAACTGGAACAAGGCTCACCTCTCATCCGCAGCAGATGCTATTCAGTCCTTGAGTTTCTTTGAGAAAGGATATTTTAATCGAGATAGCTGTTGTATACTGGCGCAAGCGCAGGCACTACATACTGGTATTGGTTCACGTGCGGTAAAGTGTTGCCATCGTAAAATCTGTGACTGGCATCGAGAACAGGGTGGAGGATGGCACTAAGAGTGCAGTGCCCTCGTGTGCACTCTGCAGCTGAGAGGATTTCAGACAGACGCCTCGCACTAGCGCTGAGAGAAATATGCTAATAAGGCTGCTGAGAAGCTGTTTTTATAGCAAGGATTTTTTTTTTTTTTTTATGGCGGCACCTTGTCATGCTTGACGTGTAACCCTCGGTTTAGGTATTTACCCTGTCCATTAGCCGTCACTGATTAAAATGGCCCCTGCCCCATTCTCTGCAGAAATCCCTTGTTTTGAAAGTCATTGTTTTGGAAAAACTGAGTTCCCAGTAGGGCAGTTCATCTAGGTTTAATACAGGAGCTGCAGGGGTCTGTTCAGTCTTATTTTAAACTTATAATCAAGGGCCTATTTAGACCCGCGAAGCCAGGTGAAGTGTATGGACTGTATAATCAGCTGCTTTAATCACCTTGTAAAGTTCTGAGAAGCAAAGAAAATTGGAAGATCTAAAGATTTTGTGAGCCTGAGGTTAGACCCTGATCTTTCCAAGTGCGTGAGCGGCTGAGTGTACAGGCTCTGGTGACCTCCTGTTAATGGCCCATAAGTTCATATTCCTGTTTTTAAATTCAAAAAATAAATACATAAAATAAAATTCTGCTCCATGCAGTGGTAGAGTGCAGGCAATATTCATTAGATTGGCCAGGATGGGACCAGTAGACACTTTGGGGTGGTACAAAAATCACTTATGTGCTAATAAAAGTGTCTAAAATTATGATATTTGCCTCATATATCAACACATAGCTGTTGCAGTTTTGAACATAGCAACCATTTTTGATTCCAAAATGGAAGATGAATGGGCATTCTAGCATTCCATGAAAGGCCGCTGGAGAGTGTGTGTGTGTGTGTGTGTGTGTGTGTGTGTGTGTGTGTGTGTGTGTGTGTGTGTGTGTGTGTGTGCACTGAATTTAAATTTAGATTTTATACATTACCATTGACATAAGTCTAAGCAATTCTCAACTTAAAATTTTGAGGTCTGCTTGACCTGGCCCTCTGAGCTAACACTGAAAAAGTCAAGTTTACTTTTTTCATTGTTGGAGCTGAAATTATTTAATTGCAAAAATACCCATAGTATACTTATTGCAAAGGTAGAAATGTATATTCTTTTAAATACTCCTGTTTCAAACTAATGAACAAAGGCAGTAAGTACAGTATTCCCTTTTCCACCCCTGGTCTACAACACACACACATGACATGACTGTTGTGCATTCAGCTTAATTCAGCTGTATTCTACTTTTTTTTTAAAATTTGGTTTGTCCATTTGTTTTCACAAATCATTCAAGTCGAGGGGGACTTTGCTCCTTTAGACTTCACCCTTAAAACACCCAACTGCTTTGTTTATCATTGTCCACGGTAGACCACAGGTAGGTCTGAACCACCTTCAACATGAAAAAGCTTCTTTCACAAGGGCAGTACTAACTTAGAATGGGAAGGGTTTGTCGTTTCATGCCATATCCAATGTATTATGTGGGAGATGTCACTATTAAGGCCATTTTACATGGAAGATTTGCACTGAAACCACCCGCAATGGTGACTCCTTGCTACGAAAACAGTAAAAAAAAAAAAAAAAAGATAGCCTCGATTACATAAAAAGTGATGAGTAGCAACTCAGAACACGTTTCCATAACAGCACTACAGAAAACAGTCCGCCAGCTGTTGACGTTCTTGTTCGGGTGACAATGTTACACAAGCCAAGATCAGTCCAATATAAAATAAAATGAGTGACAGGAAGCAAAATAAACTTCAGAGGCTGAGAAGCTGATGTGATCTGTGGTTATGTCCAAAGCACATGAACTTGACATGGCGCATCCCAAGACACAAAACTGGCAAGCTTGCGGGTTGGTTCACGCTTTCAACAGTCTCCTCTTATTGCAAATCTTGTATGTAAAGTGGCCTTCAGGATAACTGGCTTTTATAAGAACTAATGACAGCACACACCCAGGCGTCATTTTCTGTCTGGTCCAGTTTGCAAGGAGGGAACACTGAGCCAGACTAACCGTCTTTATGTTGTTTTTTTTTTTTTGTGCTGAATGAGGCACCTCAACCTTGTGATAAGTTGTTGCTAGTGATAACGTTAGTTGTATAAACTGCGTACCATTTCTGCCTTGTTCATATAACATTGTCAGCTGAAATTTCAAATCCTTTGAGCAGCAAGCAATATAGTTAGCAGCTCCTCATCTCTAACCTGTCAGATTTTTTTTTTTTTTTTGTTGCTCAGTCAACAACATCTAAATGCAAAGAAGAAAAGAAAAGAAAAGAAAAAAACATGCCCATCCTATGCACAGAGCCATTACAAGACATGCCATGGCTCCCGGGCGAGATATGAGATTTTCAGGTTCAGCTAAATTGGTTAAAGATTAAGGGAGGGGCGGGAACCTTCAGGTTTTGGTCTATACCAGAGAGGCCTATATTGCAGTGTGGAAGCTTGATAAATGGCCTTTCACCTGCTAATTGCCAATCACAGTTTAGAATTTTAATGTGGCACCTCAGGTGGCCTATCAGGCAACGATGTTGCTCTGCCCTTGGCTCCATGAATTTGTATGCAAATTCAGAATATAATCGCTGGAAGCTATTATCTTACTATTATCTGCAAGTTTAGTAATGTTAGCAGGTGCTTTAAAGGCAGAAATGCAAAGAGACTGATTAGCATCAGAGATGACAGCTCTGTAATCAGGTTGCACGGGTCACTGTGTGGGTCCTCTGCTGTCGCCACCAAAGGTGTTCAACCTGATCTGTTATCAGCACATTTTGGTCAATTTGTTGTCAGATTTCCCCTGTTAAGGACATTTACCTTTGTTGTGTCTACCAGTATTGACAGCCACCCCTGAAGGTCAGCGTGTCTAAGCCGTCCAATCAGTAAAACCCAGGCAGAGAGCTGCCATCGATGTGACAGCCTTAACATTCCACTCCTTCGGAAAAAAATCCCACTCAATACAGCTTCATACATTTTGCAGCAGATGACTTAACTCTTGCCCTCTTGCTGTTTGTAAAGATTGTTATAGTATCCAGACCAAAGACATGACCTTATTATTTTGACTGCAATGAATAATTTTTTTTTGAATTTACTCACTCAGTTACCCAATTTGTCAGTGCTCTGGTAATCTGTTTTTATTATTGTTTTATTTTGAGTTTTTTTAATCTTACCTGTTTTGTTATTTCAGTATCTTTGTCAGGTTGCCATGTGTCTTTGTTTTCATTCACGCTCCCCTCACACTTCCCATCCTGTTTGTTATTCACTTAGTTCATTGTCTCGTTTATTACCACACCCCTAGTCATGCTTCCTTGTTCTCAATGCAGTTCACCCAGTAATTTGTTTGAGATTTAAGTTCTCCATTTTCTTTAGTTTCTTGCGAGTCTGTCTCTGTGTGTATTCCCAGTTACTTACAAGCCTTTTGATTCCTAGAGTTATTCCCGGTTCTGATTTCTTTTTGTCTTACAGTCTTCAAGTTCTGCCTAGCCCATTGTGTACGAATGATTACTGTTTACAATTTTGGTTCCTCCTTGACTTATGATTCTGTCCGCTCCCTGGCAAGGCATTCTGTTCGCTCGGCTTTTGACCCTTCATATATTCTCCGACATTGATTCTGATATCGCTAGCCTCATAACATAATTGCTTAAGTCATATTTTTGCCAAATTGAGATATTGGCTACCTGTTCTTTCGTGCTGGCGGAAAAAAATGCATTTTTTCCTAAAAACCTTAAAATATATATAATCCATTCTCTTGAATAATAAGTAAAAAAAAAAAAAGAACTTAAGAAATGAGATGGGTGATTATGCTATGAGGCTAATAATATGACTTTTTGCTGCATTCTTC